GCGCAGGCGCCCGCCAGACCCCGTCCACGCGGTGCACCTCGCGCGCGCGCGGCAGCTGCGGCGGCAGGTGCACGCCAGCAGCGCGTCGAGCACCCAGCAGCTGCAGCAAGAGCTGCTGCAGATCGAGTCGGAGCTGATGCAGGAGCTGCAGCGGGTGGCGGAGGCGTCGCAAGACAAGCAGGTGGGCGCGAGCCGACGCGCGCTTGCAATCCGGCCGATGCGCATGAAGGCCAAGAACACGCCAGTGGCGCACCAATGCGACGGTAACACCTGCTTTGTTCACGGCCGGCTTTTTGAAATCGCTTGTTTGAACAAAGAACACCTGAGCTGTTCACAGTGGGATTTGAAAATTCGCTTTACGGTTTACGGAACAAAGCCAGCAGAGCGGCGGGGTGCTTATCACAGCCCGCGCTCACCGCGCTCGCCGCTGCACCCCTCGCCCCGGGCCAATGGACCCAATGGACCCCCAACATGCGCCCAGGCGCTCTGGAGGCAGCAGCACGAGGATCAGCTCGCGCGCCTGGCTGCAGCAAAGCAGCGGCGAGAAGAGCAGCTGGGTCTGGCGGGCGACAGCGCCGAGGGGCGGCGGCTCATAGAGGACGCGCGGCGGCAGCGGGAGCAGCAGAAGGCGGAGGAGGCGGCGGCGCGCGCGGCGGCGGAGCGGAAGCGGCGGGAGGAGGAGGAGCAGCTGCGGCGGCAGCAGGAGGCGGAGGCGAGGCGCAAAGCGGAGCAGGTGGGGCCGCGTTTCGAGGGTGGAGGGTGGGGCTCGGTGGGGCGGGGGTTTGCAGGCTGCTGTTGGACCTCTCTGTTAGCGCAGCGACTGGGATGTGGGCTATGATTGCGCGTGTCACTGTGGGGCAGCTGCACGGCAGGCAGCGGCTCTGGTGGCTGCTGCGCCAGTGGGGTGGGCCGTACTGAGGATGTACCGCAAAACGACCATTCACAGGAAGCTAAGGCCAAGACGGACGCCGAGGCCAAGCGCGCAGCAGAAGCTTCTGCTGCCTCCAAGCAGCAGCAGCAGGCACAGCAGCAGCGGCCGCAGCCGCCCGGCGCGCCCGCCGTACTGCCGGCGTCCGGCCAGCCGCGCGCCGCCGGCGCGGCCGGCGGCGGCGACTGCCGGGCGGCCCCCGGCGCGCTGGAGTGGGAGAAGCTTCTGGGCGGGAAGCTGGCGGCAGCTGAGGAGCAGGTGAAGGACCTGATGACGCGGCCCGAGCTCAAGGCACAGCGGCGGGCGGTGGAGAAGAAGGTCACCCTGATCGTCTCTCAGATCGCGGGGACTCAGCAGCAGGTGGGCTTATCGGGGGGGACGAGTGATGACGGCCGAGCTCTGGGCCCAAGGTGATGCGGCACAGCGGCGGCGCTGGATAGCCTGTTACAGCCCTGTCTGTTCAGCTTTTTCCGCTCGCACCCCATCACCGCGCCCCCCTCCTTCAGGTGACCGACAAGGTCAACGAGCTGCTGCAGCTGCTGAGCAGCTGCCCCGACGAGGCCACGCGCACCCTCACGTGCCTCACCCTGGCGACGCGCATGGTCTCGCAGACTGATAGCCAGGTCAGGGCAGGCTCAGCGGCAGCCCAGGGGTCGGGCGGCCGCAGATGGGGCCCCTTCACTACAAGGGCGAGCCAGACAGGGCATGAGGCATTGACTGATCATGATTTGAACATGTCATGGTCCCACAGCGAGACCGAGATGTGCGGGCAACGCGCCGCCCTGCGGCAGCGCCCTTGCCAACCCCCACTCCCTGGAAACGGCTGCGCCGCGCCGCACCGCCCCCCTGGCCCCTTGCCCGCGGTCGCAGGTGTCCAACTGCGCGTCCTTCGCGTTCCCCCTGGCGCTCGTCTGCGTGCGCGTCGGCGCCGCGGCGCCGCTGTTCATCGACCTCCTCATCGCCAAGCTCCACAAGGTGCGCCAGGCAGCGCCGCGCCACGCCGCGCTGGACAGCATCCCGCCGCTTCCCGACGCTCCGGTGCATGGCCCGGCGGCCGGGCTTGGGGGCGCCCCCCCCCTCTCTGCGGGCCTTGGTCACGGCGTGGCGAGCCAGCAGCCTCCCTCCTGCCCCTTCCTGCATCAGCAACCTCCAGCCAGGCTTGTCATTGGAGCGGACTCCTTTGCGACGGCTTTGGTGCCCTCGAGGCTCCGCCCCGCAGCAAGCCGCGTCGCTCCTTCCTACGCAGCAAAGCGCGCTTCTCGCACTGCCCCCACAGACCAACCCCCCGCCCCAGCAACCTCCAACCTCATTGACCTCAACCTCAAACACATATCCTCGGAAATCGCGCCCCCAGATCTGCATCCTGACGGTCCCAAAGTACTACTCGTTCCGCCCCGGCGGCCCCATCACCGAGGCCCAGCACTTTGCGCGCCTCGGGTACCAAATGGTCGACGACCCGCGCGCCCCCGGCGGCGCCAAGCGGCTAGAGACGACCGACGAGTTCGCGCGCCGCGTCGCCGCCTGCCTGCACCTGTACGCGGCGCTGCTCGGCACGCCCGGCGGCGACGCGCGGTCGCCGCACCCGCACCCGGCGGCCAACGGGTGGGCGTGGCTGGCGCGGCACCTGAACGCGCTGCCGGCGACGCGGGTGACGGCGGTGGCGCTGCAGGCGTTCGTGGCGCACGCGGGTGGGTGGTGGCGGAGGGTTCTTGGGGGTCAGGGTGGGTGCTCAGTGGTCATAAGCTCCGCAGCACGGGGGACGCTGGGCCGTGAATGCAGGTGGTGTGGGCAGATCCACGCAGGGCCCGGCCCCTTTGACTGCCCGCCGCCGCTGCCTTTGCACTGAGCGTGCCCCCTTCGCCAGCCCTCCCTCCCGTTGAGCCCGACCACTTCCCCAGCCCCGACCCCACGCCCCACGCCCGCACAGCCCCGCCC